TCAACTTGAGTTTCAGCCTGGTGCATTCACTGGGGATCCCACATGGAAAATTCTTCTAGGTGTGGGTAGCTGACACAAGAGATAGGGATGGACTGGGGAGTGATGATAAGGTCCATAGGAGCAAGGAATACCTAGGTCCAAACCAAGGATCAGCAAAGTTCCTAAAGAATGACGGTAGAGTGAGTAGAGAAGCATCTGGAATTAAGTGCAACTATCTTAAAGAGAGACTGATTTACAGCAGACTTCCTGATATTCTTTCTCTTATGGTCTGTCTCCCCTCTTCCATGATGTTTCCTGATCCATAAACACTGGAATTGTGACATAGATGTATCCATTATGGCTGATACTCAGCAAGTTGTGTGTATATACTTGTGTACACATCTATATCTATACCTACACTTGCACCTACACCTACACATACATATATAAATATACTACACATATATTGTGTATATCATGTGCATTATATACGAGTATACATGAAATTCACAGGCAAATGGATGAAACTAGAAAATATCATCCTGAGTGGGGTAACCCAGTCACAAAAGAACACACGTGGTATGTACTCACTGATAAGTGAATATTAGGCAAAAAGCTTGGAATACCCACAATACACATTACAGACTATATAAAGCTCAAGAAGAAGGAAGACCAAAGTATAGATGCTTCAGTACTACTTAGAATGGGGAACAAAATAATCACAGGAGGTAGAGAGAGAATGAGATCTTGGAAGGAGAGAGGAGGGGGAGAGTAAAAGGGGAGGGCAACATCAAGTGTGGAAGGAGACAGAGGAGAAGTACAAAGGGGGGAGGAGATAGGATGGTGAGTTGCAGAAGGGAAACTAGGAAGAGGGATAACATTTGAAATGTAAATAAATAAAATAACCAAATTTTTAAAAAAAGAAAGAAAGAAGGGAATACTTAGGACAGGTACTGCTATAACAGAAGCTTCAGAAATATCTTTAAAAAAATATATGTGAACAATATAACTGATATTGAAAAGGTGAACATGATTAAAGGTGATGATGGAACAGTTATTTTAATAATCCCAAGTTTCATGCTTCCATCTCTGACAAGATCTTTGCAATTACTGGTCATTCAGAAGCCAAACCCATCACAGAAATGCTTTCTGGAATATTAAGTCAACTTGGTGCTTTCATCTTAAAGAGACTTATTAAGTTAACTGAAAATTTCTATGATAAATACTGAATAGTAAAGCACCAATGCCAGAAGACATCGGTGAAGATGATGATACTCCAGATATTGTAGAAAATGAAGATGAAACATCAACAAATGAAGCTAACTAAAATCCTCTGGTTTTATATTTATCCTCTTCCTTTACTTAGTAGAAATAAAAAAGCTGATTGAACTTAAGAGTAGAGAATAAGTAGAAAGAGTAATACTTTAGTGTGCAATGGTTCATTCACGAGGACATCCAGGGTTTGACTTAACAACTGCTATGTGCTAACTGGTTGTATCTAAACCTATCATCTATCTGGATTCTCTGCTACATCATGAGGACTTCTAAAGGGTCTGATTTTCTGTACCTGTGGCACATAGTCTCTTTCATTTTCTCATAACTTCCTTAGTGGATAAAACATTGTTTTCAATACTACGCATTCTTCTGTTTTTCATTCAAATGTCCAAAAACTGTTGCTAAAGTACATACATAAGCCAAGTAACGGTGTTACACCAAGAATGTTCAAAATACAAAAACAATTAAATTCATATATGTTGTGCCCACTCAGCATTCATGAATGCCAAAAGACCACCCAGGAAACAAATCTGATATAATCACACTAGGGACTTTTATTTACAAGCTTGAGCCCAGGCCACACAATCCTCAGTGACACAGCAGGGTGGGAGGGTGAAGCCCCATGATCTCAGCAGGACAAGGCTTTATAGGAAAAAACCAGCAAGTGAGGGTGTGTTATCTTGGCAATCATCTTGTATTACTATTGTAAGCCTACAGGTGGGTGCTCTGAAGCAACACCAGGAACAATTGCAAATGGTCTGTAAGTATATCTGAAACAATCAGACTAGTCTTTGGTTGACTGTTGCTAGGAAATAGCTAGTGAGTAACTCTAGGGTATGAGCCAAGGACAAACCATTGGGTCTTTCCTGCTACATGGATGTAGCCTGGGTTCAGCTCCAATTTCTCTTAAAATGGAGACCAGTTTCAATATGAAGTAAGTTTGGTCTCTCACACACAGCTGTTATACTTCTAAACTATCACTTCCTAGATTTCCTCACAATGTCCAAAGTAGAACCTTGAAGTAGACCGCTTTTAATAGGAAAATCTAGAATAATTCAACAAAATATCATCAGGTGAGCTGGTGATTTGTCAGTAGAAGAAACAAAGAGGTGTTTGATTGGTGGAAATTTTCAGCCAGTTTATGAAGTGGAAACTTATAGTTTCTTAGGAAAGTCATTTGTGTCAGATGGTGTTTTGCTGGGGCAGACATGTGTAGGAGTCTTTTTCTAAAGCAGACACAGGTAAAAGGATGGTTCACTAAGGCAGACACATGAAAGAATGTTTCACTTAAGCAGAGACAGATGAAAGGCTGTTTGGCTAAAACAAGCGCCTGAAAAGATGCACAGTAAAGGATTCTTCACTAATGACACACATATATTGGTTCCTCTTACATTGTGTTGCTGAGCTCCATTTGTGATGATGCCATAGAGAGAAACTTGTCCAAGAACTTCTTGTGAGATTCCTGCAGGATCTTGTGTCTTCTTGCTGCTTTCTCAGACTCCAGCTAATTGGCAGAGTGATGTCAGCTGACACAAGGACTTATTTAAGTTTGCTAAGATAGACTCACATTATGAGACAAGACCCATAGGAGGGAATATAGGGAGTAAGATTCAACAGACAGCAACAGGAGGCTTGCAATGTGGTTCACAGTTGCCCTAGATATTGAACATCTAAAACAAATCTTAGCCATCCATTGATCTTGTATTTATTCTCCACATTTTTTGAAGTTCAGATTTTTTTATATTAGGTATTCAGATTTTAATTTCAAGGAGAAAAAAATCATAAGCCTATAAAACTTATTCCTATTAATTCAGATTTATCAATATTGATGCCAGTGTAGTAGGTAAATTGAGTGAATTGTTTGAAATCACCCTGCTAAGTGTAGTTTTTTTTAAAGCAGTAAATTAATAACAACTATCATTTTTCTCTCTTCCTCTGTCAAGCTTTGACAAGGAGAAAAATAATTCCAAGAAACTACTAAATGACAAAATATTCAAATGACCTAGTTTATTAATAATCTTAGGAGAGTTAATTCATTAAGCAACAATTTAATAGAAGCAGTATCCAGTACCAAAAAAAAAGAAAAACAATGAGCAAAACACAAGCATTAAGTTACCTATATTACAAAGATGAGAATAAAGCATATTTTTATACCACAGTCAAGAGAAATCTCTTATGGTTAAATCACTCTGTCTACAGATAATGTTCTAACAATACCTTTGATCTCTACCATAGGATTTGAAAAAGACATCCCATTTATGGTCTGGTACTTCAAAGTCTTTCACTTTCTTCATAACACATTTTTAAATGAGAAGAGTAATAGCCTGGAACATTAAAGGATCTTCCACAAAGTTTCATTACCTTCTCAGAAGTAAGTTACAGACAAGGAAAACATGCTAACATGTACAGAAGTGCTTGAGAACAGAAGATATTGAAAAACAAACATTTAATAGCTGATTTTCTCAGTACAACACATACTCCAACACTTAACAGTCTTTAAACTGAATCACTTTCAGCTGATGAATATATATAATCATGAGTTATGAGTTTTTGTGCTTCTATCCTTTGCTTATCAGCATGCTGGTTTTCGACTGTATCTTAGGATGCAGTAGCAATTTGAATGTTTTCATTACACTTGTATGCTTTCTGTGCATTTGTATATTGGGCAGACATGCGTGTGTGTGTGTATGTGTGTGTGTGTGTGTGTGTATGTCTGTGTCTGTGTGTGTCTCTGTGTGTTTGTGTGTGTGTGTTCATTAACATGCAGAGGCACACCTCTCTCTCTCTCTCTCTCTCTCTCTCTCTCTCTCTCTCTCTCTCTCTCTGTGTGTGTGTGTGTGTGTGTGTGTGTGTGTGTGTGTGTGGTGTGTGTGTGATTCTGATCTGGATTAACACTTAGGCTGTATCTACTTTGGATTTGAGATTGATTACATATGAGTGTGATGGTGTATGTTGTTTTGTGTACGTCTGCATGTTCTAAGTGAAAGAGGAGTATCACAGAGATTGTGTGTATTTAAAGTTATGTTGCCAGTTTATTTACTATGTTTTATTTCCAAGCGCAATGCATGAGTATTTTTCTCTTTTCCCTGTGCTATATGTCAGTCATACTGTATAAATTTTCATATATTGATTTATTTTTCTAAATGCTTGTTTTAGGATTATCCTTGTTGTAATGAAACACCATGACCAAAACCAACTTGGAGAGAAAAGAGTTTATTTAACTCACAATTCACTTCAAGGTAACAAATAATCCAGCAATGAGGAAAGTCAGAGCAGGAACCTGGAGGCAGAAGCTACATTTGTCTGGGGGTAAAGGCTATAGGGTGAAGTGGCCCATACATGCAGTGGGAGATGCCTCTAGCTTCAAGGACTGTACCAGGAAATTTGGTTTATAGTATTGACTTTCTAACCAATATACCCCAGTATTAAAATATTGCAGTTTTGACTCTATTTCCTTGTATTAAAACAATCACAGTTTTGGGTGTGCTGAGGGGGTTCTCCTATGTTAGATAGAACTTTAAAGCGATACCATAGTAAAGGCTCTTCAGTGTAAGATGGGAAGAGGAAGGTCTCTGACCTGCTCATGATAAGGAGGGAAAGAAACTTGTAGTGCACAGTAGCTGCCATGGGAGTTACTCAAACCTCATGGTGACCTTCAAATACTCTTTGCATTTGAGAAATCTTTTATGCAACTGACACATTGTCACTGTTTGGTGCAGATGTCCCAAATGCCTGCCTTTCTGGGTAGTTTTTGTTATGATCTCTGTCACTGTGGAGGGTAACTGTGACACTGTTGACAGTAGTAAGTTGCAGCATCTTCAGGCTGAATGCCACTGATAGTGAGAGAATACTCTGTCCCATATCCACTACCACTGAACCTTGATGGGACCCCAGAAAGTAAAGTGGATGTATAATATATCAGAAACTTGGGACTTTTTCCTGGTTTCTGTTGATACCAGCCTAAATATCTACTAATATCTTGACTGGCCTGGCAAGTGATGATAACCTTTTCTCCTATGAAAGCAGACAGAGAAACTTGGTTCTGGGTCATCTGGATGTCACACTGAGCACCTGAAATCAGAAATATAAATAAGTATAACAATAGAATTAATGATGTGATTAAGACTTCCACAAGGACCCAAGCAGCACTGACTGTATTGAGATGTACAGGGCTGTTCTGACTTACCTGGGAGCCAGAGAACCAGGAAACTCAGGAGTTGAATGAGAGCTCTCATGTCTACACTGTGTCCTTAGTGCAGCTGACTACAGCACAGGGCTTTATGAGCCAGTTAAGTCCTCTGGGAACTGGACTTTGCTGTGAACATATGCAAATCCACATAAACTGTCAAGCCTGTGCATATATGCATGGCTGGCTTGCTTCATAGATATTGCAGACAAGATTTTATTACATTATTAGAGAACGTTATTAGTCTCTGAAAAATACATGGCAACATAATTTTACACTCCTGTGGGTAAAGAAGTCTATGGTTTGTAAATGATTAAAGGACTATGTTTTCTACTATCTGACTAGTAATTGGGCCAATATAACAAAATCCCAGAATTTGTGGCTTTTTAGGTTTAATAATTATATTATTTAACATAGGGTTTTTCTGTGTAGATATTGAAGACATTGACATGATAAATTATCAAGATCACCAAACAGAATTGCATTCAGAGAAAAGAAGAAGTAGTAAAACACTATCATACACAAAACATAGAAGGTGTGGTTGTAAGAACAGGTGAAAATGGACATCCACTACTGACTGGTAACTTGTCAGTTTCAGCTAATCTTGCTGTTCTCTGTTTGCTCTCATGTTCATGTGGGCGAGTCTACCAACATCAGGGATATGCTCTTCTATATGTCGAATATCAACTCCATTCATCACTCTGCATGCATTTCTACATATAACACTTACCTGATTCCCAGGTTTCTTGTGTTATTGCCTATCCTGTTCACTGTTTTAACATCTGCTAGTTTCTTTGTAAGCAATAGTTCTCCCTAGACAAACTGCTTATGTACCCTTAAATTAACATATTCCGTAAACATGTTATTATTTCTTCAGGACACCTTATCCAATTCCTAAGAGGATGTATTTTTATTGTGAAAAAATACATGGATACACAAAAGATCAAGCAAAAACTACACAAAAATATCAAATTATATCATCTCCCAAGTTATGTTAGTATAAAAAGGGGATCTAGGTACAGCCAAGAGGAGACATTAGCAGGAATATTGAAAGAACTAGGATGAAGAGTCCCCTAGTTGCTTCATTTTGCCACCTGATACAGAACAGATTAACTTGAGGGAGCCTCAAGCACAAAACTGCTTTGAGCAGCTTGGTCTGTATGTATATTTTTGGAATATTTTCTTGATTACTAATTGATAAAGAGGTGCGTGTTTCAATATAGGAAATTCTGCCCCTAAGCAGATTGCCCTGTGGTATATAAGAAAAGAAGGTGAGCATGCCACTAAGCAGCACTCCTCTGTAGTTTCTACTTCATGATCCTGCCTTGCGTTCATGCTCCAATTCCCTTCAATAATGAACTACAATCTACAAAATGACTTAATAAAACTGGTTCCTCCCCCAAATGATAATTGATCATGATATTCATCACAGCAACAAAAAACATCAAACTAGGACTGGGAGGGTGTTCCTCTATGATCACCCTCTTCTTTCCCTGGGAAGTTTCTTCAAAGAGCCTTTATAGCCATGGGAAAATTTAAATCTAAGAGTATGGCCTGTATTTTGATATCCTGAAAACTTGTTACCAGAAATGTCAGGCATTGGTTATACCCATATAAAATAAAGTCACAAATAAAAGAAAATAAACCCTTGCATGTGAAACTAAAGGAAAACCAGCTCTTGATTTGTTAACATGTTTTATTTATCTAATACTCTGTTGAACAAGGTTTCTTTGGAAGGATTGTGTTTTTTCAGCAGTAAAATCTTCACACTTATTAAACATACAAATCAAAGAAAAATTATTTAATCACAACATGAAAATGTTCAGTTCCAGGGTTATTTATCTATCTGTTAGATTATATAACCTTGGGACACAAAATTACTGCAACACCAGCATCTCAGTGTAATATGGAAGCCAGAAAAATTTCTACAAACAGATGGATATGTGTTTAGAGGGCATTGTCTCTTCTGTGTCTTACATCCCCTCTAACTCTAACAATCTTTCTTCTCTTCTCTATAGTTTTCTGAACCCTGAGGTCTCAGGATTTGGTGGTGACATACCATTTTGGAATGGATTTTTCAAGGTTTTTTAAGGTCATTCTGCAAATTTTCAAGTTGTGTGGCTCTACATGTGTTCCTATCTATTGCAGGAAGAAGCTTGATGGTTTCTGAAGAAAATCCAAATCTATAAGTATATCAGAATGTCATTGAGAGTAATATTATCGATAAGACAGTATTTGGTTTTTAACCAGGGCTGTGGCCTATCTAATCTCATACCCTTGGCTATGCAGCCAGTGATAAGTATGAGTGCAATCTCATGCAGTGGATTTTATTCTAATCAGATAGTGATTGATTACACAACCACATTTGTACCACTTTTAAATATGTCTATCTTGCATGCAGGTCACAATTTTAGATCACAGAATTTGTAGATGGATTACTATACTCCTTTCTCCTCAGGAAGCATGAAGACTACCTTCCATTACCACAAACACTGGTCAATAAAGGGGAAAGCTCTTTTTAGTCACCAGCTCAATGTCTCTGTGTTCACCGAGTTGTATAGGTGTTGTCTTCAGCAATAGGGGTTTTCTATAAGTTTGTGCACTGCAACCAATAGCCTGGAGAATATCACAAATTGGAGATTTCCATGCATTCAGCCCTTTTGGTCAACATCTATTCTGCTAGATGCAATCTGTTAGTGGCAAGTGAACTTTTATTTGTTAATGAAAGACGTTTAGTTGATGCTTTGTCTCTCCCATTATTTGATAATTCCATTAGGGTTTCTTACACACACACACACACACACACACACACACACACACACAAATACACACACTCTTATGGGCCAGAAGGGCAAGAGTCTACTCTACAAGAATTTAGGGGGAGTTCTAATTTAAAACTGAGATGTGAGAGGGACACAAATTATATGTGAATCAAAGTACAAATTCAAGGATACCATAACCTATATAACAAGAAATGTCTTTTTTAAAAAAAATTATAATATGCTCATATATATGCATATGTTATCAAATCATAGAATATGTCCACATCATTGAATAAAATAAGAACAGAGTCAATGTATTTATATCTCCATCTTATACTCTGTTTTGAATTTGTATTTGAGATTATATTAGATTGTGTATTGGTTTCTAAGCACATACCGAAGAGACTGAGTATAACACCAAGTCGGAAAACAATGCATGGGTACATATAAATCATCTTTTCACTTCTCTAGAGTTTAGGTTTTTTTTTTATAAGCTCTCAAGTCCTCTAGAGTTCCCTGTGATAAAGCATGAGTTGTCATAGTTCCTCCTAGGTGTACTATGTAAGATATCAGTAGGTTCCAAGTTGTGGTTGAATAATCTTTATTAAGACATATAAACAAATAATTACTTATAATCACATATCTAATATCACTTATCAGAGTCCATAAAATATTGGCAATACCTTAATCTCACATCAGGTATGAAGCTATAGGAAGACAATAATTTGCACATCTGTTATCTTGGTTATACTACTTTGTATGAGGGTTTTCCAAATGCAATTATTGATTTTCACTGATCCAGCACAATCCAGAGTTTGAGAAAAATCTAAACTAAATACTCTTCACTTCAAAGCTAGATTCTGTGTCAAAACACACACACACACACACACACACACACACAAGACCACTTTGTTTGCCTTAGCCCAGAGTTCCATTAAATTTCATATTATATTATCATTTTTACTATGTTCAAAATTTTCCCTTAAATTGATTTATCTGCTTTAATGTACTAGCTTATCACTATGGAAGGTAGCATTTAACTCTCAGAGAGATAAGAATAGTAGGACAATAGAACAGAAGATATTAAGTGACCTTTCCCCATTGATTATCCAATACCCTAGGATCATCCTTAAAAGTGTACACCTACAAGTGATGCTAAATAGATGAAGCAAGTTGCGTTTATACATGTATTTTCCCTCGCTAACACACATATGTCATCATAGTATTTAATGAAAGAAACTAAAATTTGGGTTTGGAAGAGTTAGAGGGACTAAAAAGAGTAGGAAAAGATGGTCAGCTTATATTTATTAATCAATTACCTTTTAGTTTTAGAAAGGTAGCTGGGATAGTAGGGTCTGAACAAAATATGGGAACAGGACTGTTTTGTTGAGGAGCAGTGCTTGAGTTTATGGTTGGAAGAAGGCTTTGCATGCACTCAGAAGATGATTTTAGAAAGAAGTACAGGGCTGAGAGAAGGCAGGAATGAGATTGCCAAACAAAAACAGAATAACTGGTATATGAAGACAAACACAGGACTGATGCCTGGAGATCACAAGGCTCTGCCAGCAAAGTTGAGATTGATCCTAATGTCAATAAAAGCCTATGGGACAGTGGTCACAGCTTTTTCATATTTCTACTGAATGTTTTTAATGTATTTTATATCTCACACAGAAGGATATCAAAGAAGTGGTAGTGACTTTCATTTTTGTAATATCAGTACTATTAGTTCCTTTATCTTGTGCTCATGAGAAATCAAACACCCAATGATTTTAAGAAGTGAACTCTTTCAACAATACCAGTTCCAAATACTGAACTGGGGTGTAGTAAAGACTGAGTAAAAGGTTAAACAATGATACTAGGGAGAAAAAATTCTAAATTTACTATACTAATAATTACTAATGCTAAAAACCAAGGGCTTCTATTGAAATGATGAAACACCACGACCAAAAGCAATTTGTGAAGGAAAGGCTTCATTTCACTTCAGTGTAACAGGTAATCATCAAAAGCAGTGAAGGCAGGAACTCAAGAATGACAGAAATGTAGAGTCAGGAACTGAAACAGAGGCTGTGAAGGAGTTCTGTTTATAGGCTTGTTTCATATAGTTTGCTCAGCTATCTACTGTCTATTAGGACTGAGGACTAGAAGCCCATGGGCATGACCCACAATGGGCTGAGCCATCCCACATCAATCAATAATTAAGAAAATGCCCTACAGAATTGTCTATAGCTTGACATTATGAAGGCCTTTTCTCAATTGAGGCTCCCTCCTCTCTAGCTTGTATCTAGCTTGTGTCAAACCAGTACAACACTATTAAGAAAATTATTTCTT